TGTGATACATATTAAATGCCCAAGGATATTTGAGCTGATATCACTAAGAATATATGTTGAAGTTCTTTTACCCAATTTTTAAACAATTAAGTGGACATGTCAGGATAGGAAATCCATCCAAAACTGCTGGTGAAAATAAATTGCTGCTCTCAGAAAGCAATCAGGCAGTGAAATAAGTAGTTTGGGTCTGCCACGTCACCTCCAGATAACTCAAATTAAATGAGGCAGGTCATTTACTTACTGCTGCAGGATCATTCAGGCAAGCAAATACATTTTAGCTTAAATAAGCAAGTGCTGGACAGTTCAATCTTCACTTTAAAGTGCGCTGTGATTCTATGGAATGTACTTTGAATTCAAACTAACACCATCAGGAGCAGTCATTGTGCTGTTTAGGCTCTGGAGGGACATTATATGATAGTTGGTGATTAAAAAGAAAGTGTTCATGTGTAAGCAAAATAAATGCCATCATGTTATTAAAAAGTGAAAATTAGGAAAGATTCAAATAGATTTAATTAGCATTGTTTATTCTGTGGTTTTTCAGTGAGAAAAAAGAGGAAATCTAGAAAAATGCTGTAAATATGTTCAAAATTTATTGATCAAATCTGTTTCACGATGATTGGTTAAAAAAAAAGACCAATTCCCTCTGTATTTTTAGTTCTGTCAGAGAATTTTATTGTCAGGAAAGATGGCTTTTCTGCCTTTCTTAGTACCTCTGTATTTTTAGTTCTGTCAGAGAATTTTATTGTCAGGAAAGATGGCTTTTCTGCCTTTCTTAGTATTGTGAAGCAGTATTTTTCAGAGAAATTGTCCTTGCTTCCAAGCACAAGCCTGTCCCATTTGTGCTAAGAATGGTGACAGCCAACTTTGTACACACTTTTCCTTTTTTTGAGTCACCTACTCTTTCCTTGGTTCCTTTTTTCAGGATGGGAAAAGTTAAGCTATAGACCAGCACTCAGCTAGACATTTATCAGGCTTGTGGGAACAGTTTTTGCTTAAATGAAATGGCTAGTGACAGCCAACTGAACATGAGCCAGCCCTGTGCCCTGGTGGCCAGGAAGGCCAACGCCATCCTGGCTTGTATTAGGAGTAGTGTGGCCAGCAGGAGCAGGGAGGGCATTCTTCTCCTGTACTCAGCACTGGTGAGGCCACAGCTGGAGTGCTGTGTCCAGTTTTGGGCCTCTCAGTTTGGGAAGGACATTGAGACACTGGAGCGCATCCAGAGGAGGCAACGAGGCTGGTGAGGGGCTTGGAACACAAACCCTGTGAGGAGTGACTGGGGGAGCTGGAGTTGTTGAGCCTGGAGAAAAGGAGACTCAGAGGTGACCTCATCACTCTCAGAAACTCCCTGAAAAGTGAGTGTAGTCAGGTGGGGGTTGGTCTCTTTCTCCAGGCAGCAGCTGACAGAACGAGAGGACACAGTCTCAAGCTGTGCCAAGGGAAATATGGGTTGGATGTTAGGAAGAAGTTTTTTTATGGCAAGAGTGATAAAGTACTGGAATTGTCTGCCCAGGGAGGTGGTGGAGTCACCATCCCTGGATCTGTTTAAACAAAGATGGATGTGGCACTCAGTGCCATGGCTTAGTTGAGATGTTAGAGCTGGGTTGGACTTGATCTTGAAGGTCTTTTCCAATCTCGTGATTCTGTGACAAGAATTATACAAAAGCTTCAAAGAGGATTACCAGTGACTAAACTGTCTCTGAGACTATTTTAAAGCTGCACATGAAAAATGCTAAGGATAGTTTTCTAACAAGAAAGCAAAGAAACCAGAAGCAAAAAGCTGGAAACATAAATATAGGACAAAAAGAAGGCTCGTGCACATAAGAATTAAACATGTACAATCTTTTGCATGCCACCTGATGTTAAAAGCTTATTTTAAATATTTTCCCAGAAAGATGACATTTCCTATTAATAGGAATAGTTCAAGAGAAACACAATGCTGCAAGTGTAGCATTATCAAATTCTTCTAATGGCAGCCTTCTGCACTTCCCTTTCAGATGTTTTATCAGGTTACGTTAAGGAGGATCTGAATGCATCTGTGTTGCAATAGTATCGAAGGAGTTATTTTAAAGGTATTTTGTGTGTGGAGTACAAACCACTAAAACTAGTTTTCATCATCAACGTCACTAGAAATTATGCCATCTCCAAGATGGAAACACCTTTCATTTGCAGAGCACGCATGATGAAAATTTATTCCAACAGTGCTATTATGTGCGGTTGAAATAATTTAAGTTTTCCATTGTGACATGTACCATGATTCTCAAATTATTATTCCTTGCGTAGTGTTGTATTCTTGTATTGTTCCTTGTATTCTGTGTGTTGCCTCTGCTGATTTATAACAAAGTTGTTCCTTATATAAAAGGAGTGGCATTTATTTTTCTTATTCTTGCTTTAGTTATTGCAGTGGCTACTGACTTTTGTGTAGAAGTATGTTCCTTCCTTGGAAAGCAGATTGTAAAAATGCAAATGGAAAGAAATAATTGATTAGAAAGTCATTGTAAAACCTTTGCAAAACAGGAAATCAGCTACTGTGAAATTATACATTAAATAATTATGTATATTAAATAAACACTGCCAGTTTACCAGGTGGTAAACAGATGAGTATAAGGCAAGTGGAGTCCTATGTAACATGGCTTAAATACTGAACAGAAACAATTTCCTTCTAATTTCCATTCCTGCATGGTCCCACAGTGTGGTCTCTCATCTCCTGCTTTTTCAGACATGGTTGGAATCATGGGTCTTCTCTTAATTTCTGTGGGGACTCTCAGATTTGTCAGTTTAGCAGTTGAGGCACCGATAGTCCTTCAGCTTCCAGGGAAATCCGAGCTATAGATAATGAAGGGCTTTAGACAACAAAGTAAATAGCAGGTCTAGCCTGACTTCCTACATTTAATTTATTTGCTGTCACACTCTAAGTAGCTTTCAAAGATCTTTTCAGGACTATCACACTCTCTGGCTTCTTTTCCTGTTCTGTAGGAGTATCAAATTCTTTATTTCCTGTTACCTCCTAGCATATCATCCCAGGCAGACAGGCAACACTCTTGAGGCCAGCTCTACTTAAACCCATTCAGTTGTACAAAAGAAATTGTCTTTAAGTGTGCAAATGCACTCAAAAATGGTAACTACTGTACGGTAAAAATGGTAACTATTAATATTTCATTTGTTAACTACATTTCTGAGAAGGAAGTAGTGGAGGAAGCAACAAAGCAACTGCTAGAATGCCCCTCCCACCAACACACAGCACTTGATCAATGAACACTGCAGAAGAGTGGACTTTATGAAAGCATTATGAAATTTATGAAAGCATTGAGCAATGCCTCGTGACTCTTTAAATCACTGCTGCCTCAGGCACTGCTGCCAGCTGAGATTAGTTAATGAAGGGGAAGGCCACCTGACCTTTAATTTGGCTTCAGCAACAGTTCTGTGCAATGGTAGAAGGCAATTAGAGTTGTATTAATTCTTTTTTAAAATACACATTCTTTATTAGCAGTCTGTAGCATCCTGAAGAATCTGAACAGAGGCATTGTATTGATTGCAGAAAGAAACTAGAAAAATCCATAATAGTAAACAATGTAGAATTTTGATCTGTTAATAACTGGGCTCTCTGGATTGATTCAGATCTTTCTTCCTTAAGAAATTATATGAAATACTGAAAATCATGAGGCAATGTAGAAAGTAATAGCATTTTTCTAGGTTGAAAAATAAAGAGATGAAAATTACTTTTCTAGTTACCATGAAAAATTGTATAAGCATGAAGCCTTCTTTTCCCAGGACAGGTAGTTATGAATGACAGGGACAGTACACTTACACATAGTTCATGCAGCTTTCACTATTTTTTGTGTTTCTCAGGGTACAAGATCAAAGACAAAGGTAGTGACAGAGAAAAAGGGAATTTCCTGACTTCCAGCTCCAAATCTCTCCCTCCTCAGTTGTCCCATAACCTGTGGAAACTGTGAACTAAACATCTTTCCAGAGAGAGGCTGAGAAAATACAAGTTACTCATGAAAAAGACTTCAAATATTGCAGGATTTGGAAATACATTTTTCATTTTAATGTACGAAACTAGCCTCAAATTAGCTTTGAGTACTCTTAGAGTGTTTTCTATAATAACCATCCTTCTAAAATAATAGAGGGTGATCAGGCTATTAGAAAGATAGAGATTTTAATGGGAATGTTTTCAAATTTAATGAAGCAATGACAGTTCAGGTGATAAAGCAGAAAAGGCTATCAGAATTTCTGGGAAAGTCCAGAAGCATCTCTGCTTCTGGTGCAGAAGCAACTGCAAGTTGCATCTCAGTGTCTCTGGGATTTTTTTACATGCTTAGTTATGTAAATGGAGAACTTGAGCATCTATGAAAAACTCTAATAATGACTTATAGGGAACACATAATGAGTTTGGATGGAAACATTGAACTCTGAAGTAAAAGAGGTACTAAATAATGTAGAATTAAATTAATGAGAAATCAAAGTTACGTATCATTGCCTCTAAGGTTTATCCAAAGATTTAGATTATAAAGTGACCCAGAATAATTCAAATGTTTCTTCCTCAAAATGCTTATAATTTGAATATGATTAATGTTCTTCATAAGATACTCAGTACTACAACTTCCTTTATATGAAAAATGTGCTCTGAAGAGCTATCCTGTACCAGTGGGCATAAAGCAAGAGCAAGAAACTGACATCCCAGATTATCTCACTATTGGTACAGCAGCACAGGCCTTTCTTCATCAGTTTTGCAGAGAACAAGGAGTGAGAAAAAAAGAGAAAAAATTAAGATAAACTGTATTCCAGTCACATTTGCAGCTTCTGTATTAACAGCATTTCTCCTGTAAAAATGTTTTTGTCATGGAGGAATTACAAATAAGATGAAAGCCTCAAAGAAAGACAGGACACGAGTCTCAGGAGTTGTTGATAACTCTGAGATACTTCTTAAGTGGCATACTATATTTTAAAATACGAAGATAATTTTCTGTTAAAAAACAGGAACACCATCCAAGTGCATCTTCTGAGCTTTAATAGGAAGGTTTTGGCTTACAGTTTTAGAATTGTATTACTGGATCTATCACATTTCTGCACAAGACAGACGAAGCTAATCCCCGCCAAACACCACCAAGAACAACCAGCCCCAAACCCTGAAACTGTTTTCTTGGTATTTTCATGGAAAAGAGTGAGTTATCTGTAATCCTGATTTTTAGGATTGATAAGAAGATCTAGCAGATCACTGTGAGACTTAGAAAGTATAAGCTTTACAAATTCCTTATTGAGACAAGCAGATTAGCCTGAAAATAATATGGAGCCAAAAGCACCCTTGGCTGAGGTTGCAGCAATACAGAATAAGGTTTTGCAGGGTGGTTGTGCAAAACTGGTGAAATATAGTTTAGAAAATAGGGTATTATTCCCTTTACATTGTTCTTAACCTAAGCATGTCCTGCCTAGCCTATATGGTCAGTGAACTTACAACTGCAGATGTAGGTGGTAAGGTTGATATATTTTAGTGAAAAAAACTGAAAACAAGAAAGGCATCCTGAAAGGTGAACCCTTACACTGAGCTCCTTGCCTGCAAATATTTCATCCTGAAACCTTTAACATTTAAATGATGGATAGTCCACCATATATTAATATCACTAGCATATGACACTACTTCAAGTATGAGTCTCATTTCACAAATCATCCTTAAATACATTTTTCTCACTTCACGAGCGTGTTCTTAAGCTCTGCAGCACCAGCAATTATGCATTAAGATGTTCAGGCCCACAATATAGTCACAAACATAATGTCATGTCAATTTACATTGACTCTTGTAATCTAGATCATTGATCTAGAGCCAAATTGTAACATTCATGCAGAACAAGGGAGTCCCAATACTCAGCATATTTGCCTACAATTGAGAAAATGATTGGTATTTGCAGGAAGCAATTTAGACTTTGCTGTCTCATTAATAAGAAGAAAATAATATTTGATTACTCATCACCTAGAGAGTTTTACACAATGTAAATCAATAAACCTTAGTTTCCAAAGAGCCAAAATTCAGATATCTTTTTCTTTCTCTCAGAGAAAAGTTTCCCTGTAATATCTACTGGTACATGAAATAATTTATTGAATGCATAATTTGGAAACAGGGTTTTCAGTAGTGTGTACTCTCATAACTATGTGTATTTGGGAGCTTTTAAGTATGAGTTTAGTTAAGTACAATTGAATTTTGATGGCAAACGTGGTCAGTAGATGACTATTAAATGTTCTCTGTAATTCCTTAGGGTTTGATAAACTAGGCTTTGTAGATTCACTATTCTTCTGTGTAGTTTATTTATTTGTTTTTAAATTTAGCCAATTATGAACATTTTATGTTAGTGTTTTCTGAAAATTTACATGAGGATTGATTTTTATAATTAAGTACCAGCACATATTTTGTGTAACTAATCTTCAAACTTCTGCTATTGGGGACATTTTTTGTTCTTTAGGACATTTAGGTTATAATTTCATTTGAAGACAGTTGAAGAACACGTGTGTGACTTCTCTTCTAATACAAGGAGAATTTCACTGTAATTTCCAAAAGTACATGAGGTATTCCTCCTGTCTTCATTATCCCATGCTTTACAACAAAATTGTGTTCCACACTAACAGGATACCTCATTGAAGTTTCAGTCTGAAAACAGTACAGTCCATGCAAAGTTGTTACTTGGTCACTCAATACCTAATTAATATTAAATTTTAGTGATTTTTCAAAAGTTTCTCAGAAAATTGCCAATAAAGACTTAAAAGACAGAAGAATTCAATGGCATGCTGACCAATGTAAAATAGCATAAATGAAGTAATTTATTTGTCAAGGAATGAATATGATTTAAAATGATTTTTTACTGAAAATGTTCAATTAGATGGCACTTGAGGTCTTCAGAATTCTTTTCGTTTCAATCCTTTTTTTTCTGACCGAAGGCTTCTTCCATGCTCTCAGGGAACTTAATGTAAGACTCGAGGAATAACGCTATTTTTCTAGGAATGAAACTGATGAGACAAACATTGAATTAGTCTATTTTTCTTGTTCTTTAGAAAAAGGTACTCTATAAATAAAGATATGAAAAAAACCATTATATGTGCTCAATACTTTTAATATCTGGCAGTAACACATTTGGCACTTCAGTGCTATAAATCAGGAAAACAAATGACAGACCAAGACCTTTTGTAAAAGCCCAGTCTGCAGTGGTGGCAGGGACTGGAAGCAGACAGTGCTAGACCAGGCATTGCTCCCAGTGTACCATGTCAGGAAAATTTTTGAACTTTCTATACCCAACTGCATCTTAAAATATTTCTTAGAGACAGAAGAGGCCAGAATTTTTCATCTAGATTATTAAAAAAAAATCAAACCTACTGTTTCTTTAAAATTGGGTACATATAACTGGATTGACTGCAGGAATATTAACTAAAGGACTGTTTCAACTAAACTTTCCTGCTGATTTTACAGGCATATGGCAAAGGAAAGAAGGTAATGCTAGAAGACAAATCACATGCTTACATTCTGAGACCAAGTAAGTATACAGCTGGAGGCATGATCAGATAAAATTTTTCCTTTTTAATTACATCCACAATCCTGCTGGCTGCATACTCTGGATCATAAACAGGAAGCAAACAGGGTTTTCTTTAAAATAAGAAAAAAGGGTTATGGAATTATAAAACTTTACTTTTGAGATAAATACACACACATACATAATGAGATAATTTATGCATTTTCTCCCTTCCCTTCAAGTAGTCTTGAAGAGGAATCTCCAAACTTTTTAGTTCCTTCTATCATCAAAATAAATTGAAAACACTTTGATGATGTTGTGAATTGAATGACTCTTTTGTAAGCTGACCACGATGAAGTTGATGCCCACACTGATTGCAGCTTTGGAAACTTCCAAGCTTAGCCATACTATGTGCTGTATGCATCATTGCTCTCCAGCAGTCCTTTTCTGCTGTAAAAGCTGAAGTGACAGCTAAATAGACCAGGACCAGGTTTGTCACCAGCCAGGAGGAGGGCTCTGCTCTGCATACATGCATTGCTGCACAGCAATGAACGGTGCAAGCAGGAGCAGAGCACTGAGAAACCCAGGATCACTGGGACTGCGCTCCTGCAATGGCTCATTCAGTGCTTGCAGCCTCTCCCATCACTGCAGCCACAGGGCCACCCAGCAGATACCATCACCACAGCTGTTCTCACTCTGAGGTACAGCACCTGCCAGTACAGACAGTGGGGCACAGTTAATTACAGTACAGACAGTGGGGCACAGTTAATTACAGTACAGACAGTGGGGCACAGGTCATGGGTATCCTGACAGCCATAACTGTAATTACACTGCCAAAATTACTTGGGGTGAAGAACATCAGCACTCTCCTGACAAATAAGGTTCCCTTAACCCTTAAATACTGATGAGTATCCCCAGCTGTTCCTTGACTGTGAGGTTATTACACAGTTCTTGTTATTGACTGTATGCAAGACTCGGGTTTCTTTATGTCAAAAGACTGTTCTCTGTGCCAATAGGGCAAAAACACTGAATTGAAAATCAAATCAATCAACAAAAAACTGAATATTATATACCAGGTGAGTGGCAATTATTTTTTATATATGGAATAGTACAAATCTAAGCTTTACTTACGCGCTTTTGAAGCCTTTGCTTAACCTAGTACTAATAAAATAAGGACAAATGATTGTGGTTTTAATGCCACATTTTCCTCCATGATACAGTTCTGAATTTATGGCTTCCATCATTCCAATGACTGCACTCTTACTTGCACAATAATCTAGAAAGTGGAGAAAAAAGAAATATCCAAAACTTTAAAAGCACAGTAAAATCTATGTACAGAACTGAATTCTTTGTAATACAATTTAAGCCACAATATTATTTAGTTCTATTGTTGGAAGTCTTGTAATTAGTATTTAAAGCATATTGGTGATCCTAACTCTGGAGATTAATGGCTCTTCCCATGAATGATGCACAGTTGCCTAAGGAGAAAATTAATCCTTTTCAGAGGAGGTTATTTTTTCCTGTGCACTATATAGGCAAATGAGCTTATTCAGCATTTTCTGTACATTTCCAGATACAATTATTATCTGATGAATGTATGGAACACTATCCTTATAGATAATCAAAACTGGGCCTGTTTTAATCTGGGGATATGGAGCAAGGGACCTTCAGAGATTCTTCCCACACAAATTATTCTACAGTTTTCCAGTTGTTAGAAACTAATTTAATACAGTGCCTTACATGTAATGTAACTTTTTTTTTCACAGACTTTTTCGAATGTGTGTGAAAATAGTTGTTAGATACAATGAAACCAAATTTTGCTAAAACACTCCAAAGACAATAGGCATCAGAAGTAGTTTGCTACTCTTCAGGAGTTCACTCTTAGTGAATGATGGAACCATGCAGCCTAAAAATATATATCTAGGGTGTAAGAGGTTATAAAGCATGGATGGGAAGGCCCACTGCCATAAGCCTTACAGCATATAATGAAAGCTGAATGTGACTTATATTATCAATACCAAATATTGATAATATATCAAGGTAACCCCCAGGTAACAGGTGTCAAATAAACACTACAGTAACACCATCAATCAGCAGAAGAAACAGGAGATCCTTATTACACTGAAATTCAAGTTCTCATAGGTGACCTCAGAGATACCATCAACATGTAAGAGAGGCTTGAGGAGAGACAGGGCAGCAGACCCAGCAGATTGATCTTCTGAGGGAAACAGCTGAGAATACTGAGCTTTCAATAGCTTAAACCACACTTCAATTTTATTAAAAATTCTGCCAAAATGCCTTCTGCACTTGAAAAACCATATTCCTGAATGTGTAGCTCCAGTTATAAAACTTGTGTGTCTCAGGAAGCAGAAAAAGCTGTCATTAGAAAGCATTTGACAACCTGTATGCAGGGCTCACTCCCACTGCACGTGTATGAGCTGAATTGTCCTTCTGATGTGGAGAAAAGAGAGTCTGCAACCAGACAGTAAAATGTGCAGGGAGCTCGCTGTGCCGCTCAGGCACGCGACACTGTCACCCTCCGGTACACCGTCACCTTTGGGTTCTTGTCAGTACAGGCTGCTGAAGCCAAGCATTTTTGAGGTGTCTAAGAAAAGTGGTTAGTGTGTAGATCTAATTTGTAATGGCAGTTGACAATAATTACCTGACAACCTGTAGAATCCCATTAATCCAGCTGCACTGGATGTGCTAACCAGGTGTCCACGGTTACAGGCCACCATGGCTGGAAGAAAGGCCTTGCAAGTCTAAAAAGATATAAATATATTTATTTTAAAATCCCCTTTATAAATAGCCATAACAAAATTGTTTCATTCCAAAATTTGGCAATACAACCTGACTTGCTTTATGGTTCTTCAACATACAAGAAGCCCAAACGACATTCAATCTCTGTCACAATTTTTAAATGAGAGACAATATTTCCTTGAATGAAGAAGGGTCATTCAGACAGAATCCTTTGTCTGAAGATCTAACAGCATTAAAACCATGTTATTAAAACCAGCAAAGTTTGTATTTTCTTTTCTTTCCTGGTTCCTCACAATTTGTCTATTGCTAAAGGTTTGGTACACAAGAGGGAGCTAGAAGTCAACACATTAAAGAGAGTTCAGCTGTCTGTGGGCCCTCTTTGTTACAAGCTGAACTGCCTGACAATTCCAGCACTCCAGGACCCCACTGTGGGTTATACTAACTGGGAAGAATGCTAGTGTTTTACAAAGGGGGAGATAAGAAAAAGAGACAAGAACAGTAACATTTTTTTTTCAATAGCTGAGGAATCCTATTACACTCCAGATGTGAGTGCCTAGTGCATCACTATCCTCCTGCCCTGGGTTTCTTCAGACCTGCCAGGGGGAACACCTCTCCCAATCTGTTTTCCTCAAGTATGTGGAAGAATGATGTAGTGTGGCTAGGGAACACTAAGAGAACTTCTATTCTTCAGTGATTTTCCATTGAGAACTGCCTTTTAACAAAGGAGTTGCAGTGCTCTATTTTTCCCTGATGCAGGCTGTTCACTCAGGCATATTAACAATAAGTGCAAAGAGGGGACAATAGTAACACTCTCTCACAAAAATAACCCCTCCTAAATCTACTGAGACCTCAAATAACTGCAAATTCCTCCAGAGGTAGAAAAAAACCAAAATAAATTCTTACTAGCTAGATTAGTTTTCTATGTACTTCAATCAGGTGGTGACCGGGAATGAAAGCACAGCCTGAAGACCAACATGTGCAGCATAAAATCACGCAATCATTTATGCTGGAAGAGACCTTTAAAATCATTGAGTCCAACTCTAGATGTAACACTTCAAAGTCTTCCAGTTAACCATGGTTGTGTCTCCCTGAATGCTTCAAGTCTCTTAGGCAAAGGCTTCAGATGCCAGGAAACATCAGGAGCAGGGAAGTCACATGCCATCATGTCAGCACTCCCTTCAACCACAGCTGTTACAGGTAGGGCAGATTTCCTGATACAGCTGCACAAACCTCGATTTACCAGAGTGCCCAGGCAGGTTCATGTTAACACTATTGAGACATACTGGGGAGACTGTCTCCAATCACAGGATGATAATGAAAACATATATTTCTCCCAATCAAGGTCCTTCACATCCCTATTCCAAGCTGAGTTTTTAAGGTAAATGCCACCATTGTGGTTTTCACACCTAAATACTTGTCTGTACCTTTTGGTCACTCAGGAGTAAAAAACTCACAAAAACTTTACCCAGACTTGAGAAAAGAAGTTGATTCTGAGTGTCTTTTCAAATTCTTCATCTGTAAGCTCACAGAACTTTTTCCCGATCATTATGCCAACATTGTTGATTAGAATAGTAACATCCCCAACTTCTTTTCTAACCTGAATTAAAGGAAAAAAAAAAAGAGAAACAGAAAGCTTTAGAAGGTATCCTTGTCTCTTGTGCTTCATTTATGAAAATGTTTAGTAATATTTGCAATAATCAATATTTATGAAAACGTAGGTATGCAAGAACTGTTGTAGTGCATCAGATCAAAGGTCCATCTAAGCCACCCAGCCCTTGTCTCATGGTGGAAAGCAATGAAAAAAGGAACTGGCCTCTAAGGTCTCCCACATGCTCAACTTTTCACATGCTGCAATTTGCAATCTTTTGAGGGGTATGAGATATCTATATCATTGTCTTTAATATATCCCAGTGATTCTCCCCCCTGCCCTCCTCCCCAAGGTTTTGTAATTGCTCCCTGAACTCCAGAATACTTTAGACTTCCACAAAAACCAAAGGTAAACGTTATGCAGCTTTAGGGTGCACTGTGAGCACACTTTAACTGCAATCAGAACATTTCCAGTCTCCTATTTTTGGTATTGTGAGAACCTGCATTCCTCTGCTAAGCCTGCTCAACCCCCTTTCCATATAACTTCTACTGAACTTGAAAGAATTCAGCTCAGATAAATGGGGGGATACAAATCCTCTGAGCACAATAGCATCTACCATAAAATAGATAGATAAAATCATCATTAGCTCCATTTGGTTTTGTTTTCAGAAGATTTTGTGCCATGATTTGATTTATATCAAAGCAGATGGCCAAGATTTACTTATAGTATGAAGAATCAGTCTCACAGATTTCTCTGCTAAAGGTGGATGATTATCTGGGGTCTCAAAAATTATATTATGACTACAAAAACATTAAAATCCCACATGTGCTGCTGTCTAGCAATTTGGAAACAGGTGATTGGATCTGGTGCCTCAGTCAAAGGAAGGTGACCTTCCTTTGGCTCTCTCAGGGAACCTTAGCATTCAGTGAAGATTTGTTTGGTATTTCTCCAGCTGTGTCAGGCTTAGGCCTTCTCATTGACAAGCAGGGCTCAGATACTTGCACTTTTCCACCTGCATAAATGAATGCAAATCTAGACACTGCTCAGTGTTGCAGGAATGCTCAATTCTTCCTTTGAGGAACACATCTGTACTTTCTCTCCCTACTCTTTTAACTGCTGTGTCAGTCCATATGATGATCCTCTTCTTAACATGACACCTTATCTTCACCAACAGCAACATTTTATTTTCCATGGCATCAGTTGTCCTGTTTACTCACTACTATAAAATATGTGTGAAGCTTGGCTTCTATTTAGAAAAAAGTCAAGCTGATTATTCTACATTATGTATTTTTTTAGGTGTTTTCTAATTCTTCTGTGAACATAATTTATACTAGTTTTCTGTAAGACAGGTTCATAGTGTGTTTGTGTCCTCTCAAGTGCCCTTTAAGACTAAGTAAGGCATATTTACTATGCTTTTTTCCTTGATCATCTGTTATAGCAAAACAAACATTCTGCATTTCTAGCCCACCAGATCCATGTCCTTCAGAATTCCCAGGTGGACACTGCTTGTACCTGAAAATTAGTTGTTGTTCATTTTACCAGTTTGCTCTAAAATCTCTTCTTTAGAGACTTCAATGGACTCTTTTGTTTCCTAAAAACAAAACTTACATTATGGGAAAATACTTATGCTTTTTTGGAAGTGAGTATGCAGAATAAAACAATTTAATTTAACTTTCTTGCAATTGTTTTCTTTTCTGTGTCCAACCTCAAGACTTTTCATATTGCCAATCAGAAATTTGCAGGTATTTCTAAGAGTAGAGGAGGCCCAGAGTTGAAAAACTCTTCATCTAAGAAAATTTCTGTCTCTGTCAGGACAGAACAATACATGCAAATATCTGTGAATATGTTGTTAACATTAATTTGACACCTTAACAGCAATTTTAAAATTTTGAACTGCTCTTTAAGTTGCTGTTGGCAGGTCAATCTGTGCACTTCAGAATAGTGTTTGCAGATTTGTGCACAGCAAATTCCACAGGCTGAAGTCCTGTGGCTGATTTGGTTAATGTATTTGGAGATCAAAAATTACTGGGGGCACAAAACAAACCTTTTGAGACTGCTGAAATAAGAGCAAACAAATAATTTCAAAATGTTCTTTTCTTTTTTTCTCTACAGTGTGATTGAGCTGTGGCCCATGTACTACTTGCAAGTATGGGTAAAATAAACCCTTGCTGATTTGCAAGCATGAGAATTGCAGCTCCAAATACTTACAGACGCTGAATCCAACTTACCTTATAGAAGTTCTTTTCCTCAAGAACATTTCTTGAGGAAAAATGGTGTTTCAAACTTTCATAACCTTGCTCAGAAAGACTTAATCTGATTTGGTTAAAATAAAAAACAACAACCACAAAACAAAGAGGCAAGCCCACTCATGTGCCCACTTTTCCACCCAGAACTCATTGAAAATCAATGTCATATTTCAAGTCTATTCTGAAACAATCTATCAACACTCATGTCATAAAATAATTCAGCTAATTTCTCTGATTGTGCCTTCAGACACAGCATGTCAAAGATGTGATATGAGAGTCATGTATGTAAGCACATACATTGAGAATTTGAGAATTTAACAGAAGTTTACAACTGGATGAAGTTGCAGTGGATAACTGGATTATAAGTGAAGTTACACTGGGAAGCATTTTCAGACAGTTTAAGGAAAAGTAAAAACTAATTATGTTAATTCAGTGTCCAATTTCTGAACGCTGACTATAATAATAGTAATAATAATAATAATAATAATGAGGATAATAATAATAATAATAATAATGTTGTAGTGGTTTACAAAGTGAGTCAGCACAGCAGAAGAAATGGAGCTCTTCTTTACCTTATTTTCCACCTGTATTGATCAAGAAAGGAACTGAAGCTGAATCATCAGTTTGACTGGAGACCAGCCACATCCTAATGACACGTCTGAAAACATTACATCCTGCATCACCCTTAGAGAGCTACAGTTTCCTAAACAAATAGGCAGAGGAAAGAATCCTCCTTTTACAATATCCACTGATTGTTCTTTTATTTTTAAACAATTTATTGATATCTTAAAGAAATTATAAAGCCTAAATGGGTTAATATATGGAGATAATCTCTGCTGCATGTTTTACCATACTCTTAATCTAAACACTCCCATCTCACAACGAAGAGTAGAAACAGATAAATCTCAACAGACCTGATTAAAACCAGTTACTTTGTTGCAACCACAGTTTAAATTCCATCTAGAAACTATTCAAAACGAGAAAGACATTGCCCTACATGATTACTTCCCTCCAAGGAATAGTATGATTTCTACAAAACCAATAAATTCAATAGGATATTCTATCAAGAAGAAGCAAAAATACACATCTTACCTTGTCTGCCTGTTCATAGATATCCTCCCTACTGCTGCAGTCACAGTGGTAGGTGAACACCCGGTTGGCTCCATTTTGTTGGGCTAATCTGCTTGTTTCTTTGTTGCCTTCATCATCGATGTCCCAAAGAACCAAGGTTACTCCCAAGGGAGCCAATTTTGAGGCAACCCGCTTTCCAATTCCATTTGCAGAGCCAGTAATAAGTACTATTTCACCAGCAAAACATTTTTTGCGTAGAGGAAATATAGAGAACATGTTCTCCATAAGTAAAAAAAAATAAAACTTCACATACTGTAGTAACTTCCGGATGCATCTGAAGCTGAACATGGTTTCTTGGGTCCAAGCACCACTCTTCTGTTGTGCAAACCCAGAAACACAACACGTTACAGTAGTGGGATACTGACTGAAGGAGAGAAGAGGTTGACCTTCAAACCTTTAAAGCAAGTTCTTTTGCAGTGTTCTGTGCAGGTACAAAATATTAAATTATTAATTAATTATTAAATTATTAAATCAATTATTAAAGATTTGTTTTGTGGAAGCTGCCTTACTAGTGGGATTAAAGCAAATGTCTTCCTCTAGATCCTACGGACCTGTTTAATCCCGAGTTCCTCAGCTTCCATCTCTGTTTCTAAGAACATACATTTTAGTAACATACATTTTAGGCAGGTAGATCACTTTGTTTTCACAGCCAGCTGAACAAAAAAAAGTTCTGAACACACTGGTGCGACATCAACCTTAGGAAGGAAGGTGTCCTCCTTAGCAGGCAACGCGACCTGTTTGGGCAGCCGGGCAATGGGAGCGCTCCCACACCGTGGGTATTTTCCAGAGCCGTGCATTCCCATTTCCCAGCAACTGGCCAGCCACAGGGAAAAGCCTGTGAAAACTTACGAGCCTTGCTTTTCATTCTGCATTAGGCAGCACCACTCCCTTTACAGCGTTTGGGACGGGACAGGAGAAGGCTCAGGAGAAGAAGCTCCCGCGCCGTCCCGGCGGATCGGATCGGATCGGATCGGACTGGACCGTCCCGGTCCCGGTCCCGGTCCCGTCCTGTCCCGTCCCGTCCCGTCCCGGTCCGGTCCGGTCCGGTCCGGTCCGGCCCCGTCCCGTCCCGTCCCGCGGCTGCGGCCCCTTGGCCCCAGCAGTCACATCTTCGCTCTCCCTGCGCCCTGTCCCCCCGCACTCACCGCCGGCTCCCGAGTGTCCCGCCCGCCTGGCCCAGG